ACACCCTCCCCTTAGCAGAGCAGCGACAGGTGTGGGCCCCACACGGTTAACCCCGAGCTCGGCCCGGCCACACGGGGACATGCCCGGCTCAGGACGAGAAAGTACTGAGGACGGGCTGAGAAGCATCCGTGCAGGTGGAACAGAGAGGAGCCTTTGCTCCGAGGGTACCAACTCGCCTGTCGCCGTCAGAGGCCTCAGACACGCAGCTCTCTCCTCTGCCTGCAGGGAGCCTGGTGGACTCTTCTGGTCAGATCTTGGTCCCCGGCATCTACGACAGCGTGTCCCCTGTCACCGAAGAGAAGCGAGCCATGTACTCGGCCATCGATCTGGACCTCGGAGGGTACTGGAACAGCACCCAGGTTGAGAGGTTTCTGTTCGACACCAAGGTACGGTCCGGAGTGGACGGGTGATGGGAGATAGCGAGTTTTTCCAGGCCCGGGTTTACTGTCTGCTCTCTGAGCGCGTCCCGGAAGACACGCTGGGTCCCAGGCGCATACTGAGTTCACACCTCTTCTGGTGGCTTCTCTGGGGTCCACCGGCCCTGGTGGCAGGCCTGCCTGCTGGGCGGTCACCAGTGCTTCTGAGAAGACCAGCTCCCATGCCTGCCTGCCCCTGGCTGGGCCTCTGGCCAGCTCCCAGACTGTTAGTCGTTTGTGCGCATAATCCCAGGGCACTGGGGCTGGCTGTAAGTGGGAGCTGCATCAGCGCCTTGGCGAGCTCCTCCTAAGATGTGGAATTCTCTCCAAGGGGCATCTTCGTGGGGTCCCTGGGTAGTACTCACGGGGAGGAGCCTACCCCCTAATCTTGAGGTTGTGGTTGACATCTACCCACAGGCAGCTTGGAAGAAAAGCCTGGCCTTCTCCTCCTGTGACAGCCCCTGGAGCACAGACCTGGCACACGCTGGACGTGCCACCATTCAGAATCCACGCCATGGCTGCCTGGTTTGGGTCAAGCAGCTTCAGGGCTGGGCTTAATGAAAGCTTTGTTTTTTCCTTCATTTCACGTCTCCTCCTTTTGAATGCTGGCTTGCTGTGGGTTCTGGGGCCCTGTGGGTTTCATGGTTACATGTTGGGCGGCAATCCACAGGGCTGGCAGTTTGAGACCAGCAGCCGCTCCAAGGGAGAAAGATGGGGCTTCTCACTCCCATCCACAGTTACAATCTCAGAAGCTCACAGAGCAGTTCTACCCTGTGCTAGAGGGTCGCTATGTGTGAGCATCGGATGGAAAGCAGACAGGGAGGGAGGGAGGCAGGGAAGGAGGGAGTGTGCTGGGTCCCTGTGGGGCTAGGAACCACAGGTCACCCATTGACAACTAGCAGCCACTCTGCTGGGAAAAGACAGGCTTCCCCTCCTGTAGAGTTAGTCTCAAAACCTCATAGGGGAGTTCTACCTTGTCCCCCTTGACTCCATGCAGTCAATGTGGGCTATACTGGTTCCTGGTGAGTGTATGTTTGTGTGTGTGTGTGTGGCATGTATGTATGTGTGAATATGTTGGTGTGTGTGTATTTGTGTGTGCTGCGTATATGAATGTATGTGTGAATATGTTGGGGTGTGTGTGTGTTTGTATGTGTGGTATGTGTATATATATGTGTGTGGTGTGTGCATGCA